ACCCGCAGTAATCCCCCCTCGCCCAAATGGCAGATTCAGTCCGGTGCTTTTGTCTTTCTGACTGCAGTCTATGGGTTGTGCTGTTATTGCCTTTGTTGGGTTTGGCTGTTTGTGTGGAAAGCGGGAGTTCTCGATCGTTCATTGATTGCTCCGCTTCCGAGCCTCTGCGCTCTGCTTTGTTTGCAGCGCCCGAGGGAAGCCGCGCTGATACAGAGTATCCGCTTGTGGTTTTGAGTTAAGCACCGCCACCTGTCCGTAATCAGCTCGCGGTTTCACTTTCCCTTTTTCTCTGTTCGCGTCTAGGTGGTGAAATTGACTTAGGCTAAGCTGAGTGGTGCCTTTGCCGTGCCGTGCCGGCTGAATCTGACACACATGGCCCTATTTGATGGATTTATGGGAATAATTCATGTGTGTGTGTGTGTGTGTGTAATCAAGAGAGAGAAAGAGAAAGAGAAAGAAAAAGAGAAAGAGAAAGAGAAAGAGAAAGAGAAGGCCTTCTACCTATCTTTTAGTCTCCCACAAGCTGGAGAAGTTGTAGTGTAAATGTGACTCTCTTGACAAAATTAAGATAATACTGTAAGTAGGCTAGTGTTTAGTATTTCTGATATATGGTCTACTGGTTATGTTCCAACGTTTCATCCATTATCTTCTCAGTCCTATGTTTAACTTCATAAAGATTGTGCATACAATATTTATGGACTGAGGACTAGACCTGGTCCTTGAATGGCATACTGGATTCTGCATCTTGAAAAATTGAGGTTGAATGGGGCCCTGGATCCTTGGGTTGTGCAAGTCATCTCACTCATTTCTAGCATTTCATATCCCCTTCTGAGTTGAATTTGCCTAAAATAATCTAGGGTTTGTGCATTGTCAAAAAAGGAAAAGGGGCCTCTAGGGTCTGATCCTCTTCCAGATGGAAGAACATTGTTGTTGTTATTATTATTAGTTAGACTTCATATATAGTCAATTTCCAGTTCTCTCAACAGTTTGCAGAGTTCTGTGGCACTTTATATGTTTCAACACTGTTCTCTTTGATATTAACACAGAGCTATGTAGAATTTCCAGTTAATTTATTTATGCCATGTACACTATTGTTATGTTTGAAATGCAGAAGATATTTTTGAGAGTGTTCCTCTGTTGAAAAAAATGAAGTGAAATTTTGACTTTCAGTAATGTTGTCTTCATAGAAAAGAAATAATACCATCACCCACATCTAGGTATGTTTTATTGGTAATTAAAATGGTTACCAAAGGCCCAAATGCTGGATGGTAACAAAACTGCCAGGTTTATCAGAAGTTACTGCCTTGAATTAACCGAACAATTCAGTTTTGCATCTCTAAGGCTAAAAGAAAAGTCTTCTAAAATAAGATTAAGAAAAGATGCAACATCACACCTTATCCAAAAACATGTATTTACCCACTTCAAGATACAGACAAAATACATCAAACATTTTAAACTTTTGTTTCACAAGGAAGAGTGACAGACAGGGAATAAGAGGAGTTAATATCTTTCTGAAAGCAGAGATTGATTCTCATAGAAACTATATGATTTTGTTCTTCCTTTTTTATTTGTAATTGACAGGGGGAAACAGACTGGGCACGATGTAGACTTTCTGATTACTGTTCCAGGATCAAAGCAGGAAGAAGAAGAACTGTTACACACAGTGATTGACATTTGGAAGAAACAGGTAGGAGAAATGGCCATGAGGTCACTGCCTTCAGTATTCTTTGCTTGATGAATATGTGAAGACCAATGTATGTGGGCCAAATACTTTATCTGCTCCAATCAACACCCCAGAAGCTGTTTTTCAATCTCACTTATTGGCTTCTGTTAATTTGTGCGTGGCTCTAGATAGGAAAAAAAAAGTGCTAATTACTTTCTGTTCATCTATTCCCAGGCCAGAGACTCTTAATTGTTCTTTTGTTTGCTAGAATGACCAGGGGATTCTCCTCTGCAGGTTGATACATGTTTATTCCTGCCCTGAAGTTAATTTTCTAAACAAACTTCACTTGTATAACACTATGCCCTGACTCTGTTTTCTTTGATTTAATTATTTCATTTATTGTGCTTCCATACAGCAAAGAACAGAACATGCACTCTCTCTTTCCACTCGCACTCAAAACGTAACCACATGTGTGGATATGCGCGAGCATGACATATAACTATAATGGTGCATGGGTGGTAGGTAGAAGAAGAATTACTCAAAACATACAATTGGCTGAGACTATGAAGGAATCAGACAGCAGTAGTTCATGAGAGAGGTGTAATGAATACAGAAACGAAAATTGCTATCAAAGTATATTTTCTTTTACTGATCTATCACGTGATGCAGCAAGCAGTCTTGAATGTAAGTTGACCTGAACAGTTCCTGGTCAGTGGCTAGTTAGCACCTTAGGTAACACTCCCAGTCTTTGGTTCTAACATGGAAGAGAAGACTTCATTTATTTATAGGTCATTTCTGTCCTACGTTTCATCAAGGTAGTGAATGTGATTCTTTCTTCCTGATTTATATCACAGTAAGCCTGCGAGATAGACGAGGCTGTGAGGTGATGATTGGCCCAAAGTCACCTAGTGAGCTTCAGGGTAGTAAGGGGATTTGAGCCCTAATACACGGCTGTAACTAGGCAGAGAAATAAAGGATGATAATAATCTAGTGCCTGTCAGCAAAAATATATTGCTCCTAGCTGTTGCTTGATATCATGGCATGAGCTACTTATCTTTTTGTTTATTGAAGCCATACCTGCTAAGCTGGGCACCAGAAGAGGCTGGCTCCCACCACATAGTTCTATCTCCCTTGGAAACTATTATAAAATATGTATCTTTTTATGCATTTATAATTACTGAATGCATATTTGGTCTTCCTGCTTATTCTAAGACAGCTTAGAACAAAAAGAAAATGCAAATTATAGAACAAAATGATTACAGTCAAAATTAAAATCAGTCATTAAAATAATTAACTATGAGAAGCTTGGTGGAAGAAATGCATTCTCCTTAAATACTGGGAAACGGAGTGTATTCCATTGTCAACTCAACTGTTTATGTTCTGCATAGTATTGATCAGTTGCAGCTTGGAGAAGAGAAAATGAAAATTTACCACTTTAAACTGATGATACTCTGTGAGATGCAAGTAATATTTCGGGAGACCTATATGTTTAAACATATGCATGGATGATAGGAATCCTACAGTAGCTACACCTTTCATCAGCCAGTGAAACCAAAGCACACCATAATACGATGCATTAAAAATTTCCAAACCCTAAAGTAGATAATTTCAAACCTCTGTTTGTACTGGATGCAGTACATCCATTTCTCCTAGAGCATTGTTTTCTGGACGGCTACGAAAATGGCTTTTTTCTCTGAGCCAACTTAATCATTGTAGACTATTGTTTCCTAAAACTCTTCCATTTTTCTTCAGCTTTGCCTCCCATTGTCTCTTAAATGATGGTTCATTTGATATAATTAACTGGTGTACTTATCCTTCAAAATAAAAACACAATGCAAAGCTGCTTTGAATGCAGGGAAGAAAAACAGGCTATACATTCAAAAAATGAACAAAGAAACCAAGTACATTCATATGATTCAATTCCTCTTTAAGGTCTAACAGTATACAGTATATTATTGTAGCTGCTGTAAATCGGGGTGTATATAATTTGGCGATTCACAGTAAATTTATTCAGTTAAATCTCCAAATCCAATCAACTTTCTGAATCAAATAAGAAAGTCAGTTTTGAATCATCTAACTGAACCATTTTGGATGTTTCTGAACTTGTTTTGGAATTCTGAATCGAATCAACCCAATTCAATGATTCTGTGCAAACATCCAAGTTGTGTTTGACTGATTTTTTTGAATCAATTTAAATTCTCAATTTGATTTTCTGAGTTTAATAGACTTTATGAATTGGATTTTGCAAAATTTGCACAGGATTACTGGTTAGCCATTCCTGGCTTTCCAGTAATGAGTCAGAATGCCTGTGGATATTTTCTAGATAGGAAATCATTTTATGCACACCTGTGGAAGAGATTGTGTGGACAAGTAGTGAAATTTAATACTGAAAGAGAGATGCTGAGACAGAGAGAAGGCTATCAGCTGAAGAGTGAACATGCAATCACTTAGTATGTACCTGATGTTCTCTTGAGATAGTAGAGCATAGTTGCAACTTTAAAAGCCAGAATGGTCACTAACTGGACTGGCTGAGAAGGATAAGAATGTAGCCCAAAACATCTGGAAAGAGCCCATTTGGCAAATTCTTACAGATTTCTGATTTCTGACTTGGGCCACAAATAGCGGTCCAGTGATTTGGGGACAAGTCTGAAATTTTTGACCCTGTTCTTCAAGGTTTTCCTATTTTGTAGTTTAAGGAGATGAATAAGAATGGGAGGCTTTTGGGAGGAAAACTATACACATTTAATTCTTTAAAATCCCCAAATAACTCCCATGTCACCACTTTGGGGGCATTTTTGGTGCAGATTTTAGGAGTTTTAAAAATGGGGATGGGAGCTTCTTGCAGAAGCCTTCTGCTTCCATTGTCCCCATTAACTTCCCCCATACCAAAGTATGGCTGCAATTAGCCTTGCAAATGTGGATAGTCTTTAGGGAGGTTTTTGGTAGTCATGCGAATTGTCTGTCTCCTAGAGATCTTCTGCTCCCATTAATCTGATAATATAACCCAAAACTATTAGACCATTTTGTCTAGAATTTCAGTGGCATACTGGGACATAGTATTAAAATCTTCATGTGGCTCATGGATTGCGTGTTGCCCAACTCTTTTGCAAGAAAACTCACTGTCATAAAAATCACTTCAAATCTGCAAAGGAAGCCCAGCTCAGATGCTATCCTTGGAACTTCTGACTGGTGCATGAAGTTTGCAGTGCTATTACCATGTATTATGAACAGGATAACTATTGGTATTTGAAACTTCTCTTTCCAAATGCCTGAATCATAGTTTCAAGAGGTCTTCAGTTCTGGAGTATAACTATAGAACTTTCTGAAAAAAAAAGGCACTTTAGTGTTTCAGGCACTGTTTGTCCTTGCCTTTTGCAGTACATCATGTCTCAGTGAGGATCCTCATATCTTTTACTCCTGCCTCTCTTTAAATGGCTGATAAAACTCCACTTGACTGAAAAAAAATCCACTTCTGTTGATGATTCTGTATGCCTTATCAGTGGTCAGGGATGTATCTGTATCTATCATGTCACCTAACTAGTAGTAAATTAGTATCGATAATTCTCCTTTCTAAGATACTTCCATTCTCAGTTTCCTCTTAGTATCCCTTTTTAAATGAAAAGTGTTTTGTGTATTGAAAGTTTCAACTTCCTCCAGACACCTGGCTTCTCCTTCATTTAAGGCTTACCACATCTCAGTGAAGCTAGCTACCTGTCTCAAGAGATGAAGCTGGCATTTCAGCTTTCTGCTCTGACTTTATCTTCACGTTTCTTAATTTGAGTCTGTCTACAGTGGATTCACTGCTGGTGCTAAATCAACTTGCAGATCAGTCTTATACTACTTAAAGAAGTCACTCAGAACTGTCATTATTCAGATCGCTACCTTCTCTTATATCTGAGCCCTTAGTTGTCTTGGTGGTTTTTAACAAATTTCTCAACTGTTCTTCCTGCTGAGCATGCAATGTTTCTGAGAGCAGAGCACTTCAGTAAATTTTCCAAATTTTCCTACATCCTAAAGGTATCTTTTGTCGCATAATATCAGAGATCTACTCTTTATTTTGAATCAGACTCTTTAAAGTAGTTTGCGTCTTGCTGCCCTCCTTGCTGCTTCTTCTCTGCCTTCCTATTGTGCGTTGTTATGCATACTTTTGTTTTCATTTCAGTCCTAATTCAGTGAATTTTTAAACTTTTTTCAATATTAAAAAATGAACCAGGAAGCTGGCATGCTGCAAAGTGATACTTAACACCAACCAAAGAATTCTTGTAATAAAACAGAAATGACAGGTGGCTACAGCTACACAAAATAGAGAAAAAGGCTAGTTGGAAGATGGTAGGAAATACCTTAGTGTTGGTGCATTGATGGATTATTCTACCTGTGGCATGTGCCAGGATGTTGGTGTTTTAGTGTGGGGTGTCTGTGTATGTGCAAAAGAGAGACTTTTATGCAATGTGTGTTTTGCTTGAGTTTTCTATGCAATAGAATATAAGTTTTGCTAAAATTTCTTTGTGTGTTCAAAAGATACATTCTGAAGGAGTATTTGGATTTCCATAAAACCAGACTAGTAATCTCTTTTTTCCTTTTTATCTCACTATTATATACTGAGAAGAAAACCATGGCAGAATTAGCATGGCTGATCATCCCAATTCTGTTCCTTCATACAGAGAAGAACTGCACTCTTCTATTCTCGCTCCAAATTGCACAAGGAACTTGTTAACAAATGACCATTAGAACTTCATGAGACATCCAGACATGTTTGTATTTAGCATGCTGGCTGGGGAATTCCAGGGAAGTCTGCACATCTTAAAGCTGCCGAGGTTGAGAAACACTGCTATGTAGGCTAGCCATAGCCCATGGCAGCAGCCATTTTGTGTGGGGTACCATGATGACTTCTCAAAATTTTAAATCTGCCATTGCCTCACAAACATTTGGGATGTCTGCTCCAGACATTTTTCAGCCTGCAAGATAAGAATGATCACATTATTGTACTTTTCAGTACTGGCTACACACAGAGAAGTAGGATATTG